TAATAAATTAAAAGCTTTTTATAATAAAAAAAATACTTATTATAAAATTAAAAATCTTAATTTAATAAAAATTAAAAAAAATAATAAAATTATAAAAAACTTAAAAAAAAAAGCTTTTAAAAAAGTAAAACTTAAATATAATATTAAAAAAACTATTATATTAATTATTAAAAGAGCTAATAAGGCTAATAAGGTTAAAAGTAAAGCTACTAAATAAATTTATATTAGTAGTTTTACCTCTTCTAGAGGGATAATAATATATATAGTAATATTATTTATATAATAGTTAACTTTAACCTTTATAATTATTAATTATAAGCTTATATATTAATTATAAATATATAAGAGTAGCTAAGTAATTATAGCTTAATTAAAGTTATATAAACTATAAAATCTCTTTAATTATATTTAAGTTATTATTAATAAAAGCTATTTTATTACTTTTTTTAAGTTATAATTTATAATATTTTATTACTTTAATACTTTTAATACTTATATAATTCTTTTAGTTTATAATAGTAATTTTTATACTTAAAAAAAAGCGTTTTAGCTTTATTAATATTACTAAAATAAATAATATATTTAAAGTTATAATAAATAAAGCTAAGTAAAATTTTATTTAAGTAAGTTTAAGCTACTAGAATTATAAATTTATTACTTTTAGTACTATTAAAGTAAGAAAATACTTTATATATTTATTTTAATTAAAGCTAGTTTTTTTTTTATTATATTTACTTATAAAAAAAAGTTCTTAATTTTTTTATTTGAATTTAATATTTAAATAAGAATTATAATTATAATAAATTTATATTTTTTAATCTAGAAATTTAATATTTATTTTTAATAAAGTTCTTATTAGTTTAAAAGTTAATTATTATTAATATAATTCTATTTTTATTATAAAAATAATATAAATACTATAATATAAACTAGTAATTTATTTATTAAGTTATAATACTTATTTAGCTTAGCTTAATTAGAGTTATAATAAAAACTTATAAATAAGTTATTTATATATTTTTTCTTTATTATTTTAAATTACTTAAAGAGAAAATCTATTATTAATAATATTTTATTAATAATTATATTATAATTTTTTATTTTTATTATAATATTATAAAAGAATAATAAAAAGTTTTAAAGCTTTTATAAGTTTTATTAGTTCTTTTTTAATAATAAATTATTATTATTCTCTTAATATTAATAGTAAAAGAAGTTAATTATAATTTTAAGCTTTATTATAATATAAATTATTATATATTAAGAGTTCTAGTAAGTAGAGTTATTTTATATAAGGTTATAACTATTATTAAGCTCTCTAAAATTAGCTAGATATTATAAGCTTTACTAAATATATACTATAATATTATAGAGTTTCTTAAAAGGCCTCTTATATTATTATTATTTTATTTTAAGTTTTATAAGTATTATTAAAGCGCTTATATTATTCTTATTTATAAGAGATTTATTACTAGTTTAAAAGAGAAAGAATTAAGTAGCTAGGTTAATTATATAACTATTATAATATAAGTAATAATACTTTATATTATAAATACTTTATATTATAAATAATTTAATACTAGTTAAAAAGTACTATTTATAAGCTATTTAATATAAGTTATAAATTATAAATAAATTATAATTTATAAAACCCTACTATTAATTAATTTTTAATTATTTTACTTTATAATTAAATAAAATTATATATATAATATAAGTATTATATAAGTATAAAATCTAAAATAGTATTAAGCTGTACTAGGCCAAGAATAGTAAGAGACTAGAAAAGTAGACCGTATAAAACCCTACTATATATATAAGCTAGTTATATAGTATATATACGCGTAAAAAGAGCTTTTATTATTATATTATTATTATTTATATTATTTATTATAAAATAGCTTACTTTTAAGGTAATTTTATAGTTATTAATAATTTTTATAATATAATTTATTATATTTAAGCTTAAATACTTATTATTAAGTTCTCTTAAAGTTAAAATAAAGTATTTTAACTAATTAAATTTAAATATATATAATATAATAATACTAAGAATTATAAAAGTATTTAATAAAGTTTAGAAATTAATTATAAAGTATACTTTTAATAAAGTTAATTAAATTTTATATTTAACTTAAAGTTTTTAAGTTTTATATATTAATAAGGTTTAATTATATATAATTAAAGGAGAGTTTAATAGCTAGTTATTAATTTCTAAATTTAAGTAATAAAGTAAGGTCTTAAATTCTAATAGTATTATTATATAAAATAAAATATTATAAGTTATAATTTATTATATATATAGTTATTTAATAATAATAGGGTTTAAATTATAAATTAAAATTATAAAGAAATAATAGTATTTATAATTAGTAGTTTATTAATAGTAAATATATATATATAAATACTAATTACTAAGACTTATATTATCCTTTATAAATTATAATATATAACTTATAATTCTTATTATAATATTATAAGTAATTATAATTATATTAAATATAATATTTATAAGTATAATTAAATAATTTTATAAAATTAATTTAATTAATTATTTTTTTTTTAAAAAAAAAATAATATTTATAAAAGTTTAATAAACTTAATTATATAATTTAATTAAAAGTAATATAAATTTATATAAG